CCCCACAAGTACACAGAGCACTCGTGGAGCAGGAGGGTGTGACCCAGGGGATTTCTGATGGCTCAAGTTTTGGGAGACACCCCAGGGCAGAGTCCCTCTTTGTGGCTTATCCATCCAGATGTTCCCTTGTGCTCCTGCGCCTCCCCCCACCTCGTCTCCAGGCTGGGGGCTCCCCAGCTCAGGCATCCCCCCACCTCTTGCAGCACCCAGACCTGCTGCAGGGCCTGGCCAGGCTGTGCGTGCACGGGTGCAGGGCTGGCGATGGGAACCGGGACATGGCTGATGTCATTTTTGGATGCAGATGGCTGGACTGAAGCTATCCTAATAAATCTCCACTTAATAACTGGCAGAAAGGGGGATGCATGAGATACCGATCTGTAGGGCCTGGCAGCAGATCTGAGCCACTGAGGGTTGCGGTTCGGAGCTGCGGGATCGCTCTGTGCCGTGGGAAGCCCCAGCCGGCACCGCCAGCGTGGCGGGGATGAGGGAGGACAGGACTGCGAGGGTGGAGAGAAAAAAGGATGGAGAAGGGGGGCAATAGCAGGGGATGTGCGTGCTGGGCTGGGGCCATGGAGCCAGGAGAGCAGCTTCATCCCAGTGCCATCAATCATAAGTAATATTTTCCTGCTGACAGCACAGAGGAACTGATTCCCTTCCCCGCCCAGGCCCCGACTCACGTCTTTGGGGTGCCAGGTGGCATCGATTTTGAGGATGTTCCCCTCCCTGCTGGGCTGTGCCAGCTCTGGACCCACAGAGCTGGTGACAGTTTGATGCGAGAAGTTTGGCATGGGAGGACAGGCAGCTCCGGAGCACCATGTCCTGTGGCACCGTGCCTGTGCCTGTGCCCAGCCCTGCCTGGCACACAGCGGGTCCCACTGGTGGGGACTGTGGCACCAGCGTTTTGGGAGCACCCCATCGTGTGAGGTGACTTGGAAGGCAGTGGCACCCCAGAAAAGTGCTTGGCCTCCTGCCTCTGCTCAGGCCTCTGCTCCTGCAAACTGGGAGCCCTGAGGCTATGGTGATGGTCTCAGGGAATGGCAGGACTCTATTCTTGAGGCCACTATCTTGGATCAGCTTCAGAGACAGGTCTGGCCCCTGTCAGAGGGGAATCTGTGTCAGAGGGAATCCCATCAGTGCCCCCCAAGCAGCCCCATAGGAGAGGGCAGCCCCTCCGCGTGTGTCCGGCTCCGGGGCAGGCTGTTGGGTGTCCCCGCCATGGCAGAGCATGTTCCTGCCCTCGCTCCCAGGCTCCTGCCCCCCCGGCCAAGTGCTGCATTATGGGATCCAGATGCTGGAGGACGGGGAGTTCACTTGATGCAGCCGAGACACCCCCAGCCCGGGTGAGCCAGGGCAGGCGGCCGGACCTGACCGTGTGACGAGAGATTTGTGCCACCACTTCTGAGCCATCCGGGTGGCTGGAAGGGAGAAGCTGCTGCGCTTGGCCGAGACACAAACCCCTCACACCACTGTAAATCTGCCTTGGGTGTCTGTCCCGCTCTCTCCAGACGCTTGGCGTGCGTGCCATGCCCTCTCCTTTGTGGGTGGCAACTGTCTGGGAGATCAGAGCTGAAAAACAGCTGGGCAGGACAAGAGCTGAAGCCCTGGAAAGGGCTCTGGGACAACAGTACTGTCACACACAGCACTGGGGATGATCGTGGTCCCTGTGCCCCTCGTGCGAGGGCTGCATGGGGAGAGCACCACTGGACCCTCCCTATGTCACTCAGATTGGAGTGGACGCAGAGGGGGAAGGAGAGACAAAGCTCCCCAGCTTTTGGGGCAACCATTCTGCTCCTCAGCATGAACCCCCCCCTTCCCTTTGGAGCCCAGGGTTTATCGTGAATCCCTGTTTCTTTGGCATCTCAGCACCAACACCTTGGCCAGCTGGAGGGTGTGGGGGCAGCTCCTTGGGGTGAGCAGAGATTTGGGTCCCAACAGCCTGACCCTGGAAGGCTGACAGTGAGTTGGCCTTAATGGGATGCATCCAGGTTCCACCGGCATGTCGGTTGTTCCACCAGGATAGGGGGCACCCACACATGGAGAGCATTCCCAGGGAGAGCTTTAGCACCTATGCATGGGTGAACCCCAAGGCCACTCCGCTTCCCACCATGCCCAAATCGTCACACAGGGTCCATGCCTGGGTCCCATGGGGCAGCACCTTCCCACCTTCCTCTCCAGAGAGAAGGGAGGCACATTCCCACACCACAGCAGAGCTGGGCATGTCTGTGCCATGGCTTTGGGGTGTTGGTGCAGCCACTGTCCCTCTCCAACATCCCCAGTCCTTGCTCAGAGAGAAGTTGGGGTGTCTCTGGGCAGCACCTGCTTTGGTTGAGCTGCCCCAGCCCACTTCTGGGGGTTTTGGGGTATCAGGATTTAGAGTCCAGCCATGGGAGCTGTGGGGACAACACACCAGTGTCGTTCTGCCCATGCCACCAGTGCATCCAGACCCCCCCATAGACCCTTGCTGCTATTTCATGACCCTGAGAGGGCTCTGGGGTCCCGAAAATCAGAAACTGGGTCCAGCACGAACCTCTGAGGGAGGATATGGGATCAGCATCCCATGGATGGGGCTCAGGCTGTATCACATTGTCCAGCCAATGAATGAGCCCTCCTTTTCTCCTCCTTTTTCTGTTCCAGACAAAACCGAACCCAGAAATAAAAGCAAAAAGCGACAGAAGAAGCCAAAGACAGAACGGCACGTGGGTACCTAGCAGGCACCAGCACAGGAGCTGGAGCACCATGGTGGGAGCTCCCTACCAGCTCCTGCCATGGTGCCCTGGCCACATCACCCCCATTTTTCCATCCATCAAAAAAAAAAAAAATTGCACAATTTTCTCTGCCCCCCCTTCCCCCTTCCCCCTTTTTCTTTTGAGAAAATTTATGGCCTGTAAAACACTTCCTTTTCAGAGAATCTAATTTGTAGTGTCCAAAGCAAAGCCCTGGGGCTTGGGGAGGGGGTGGCTCCTTTATTCCTCTTTTTTTCCTTCTCCCCTAGCCTGCTCCTTCCTTTCCTCCAGATGGGTGGGATGGGGTTGGACCAAGGGTTGGACCCTGCTAATGAAGATGATGCCTGCCTGGACACTGTCCCCCAGGGCTGGGAGATGCCCTGTCCCCACAGGGTCCCTATTTTACAGGAGTGCTGAGGGCACAGCACACCACTGAGCTGCTCCAGGTGCTGGATAGGGTCCCCCATCCTCAGCTACTGGCACAGGGAGCCACGGGACTCCCAGGGTTGAGACTCCAAGGTCGGGACCCCACTGGGGACCGTGTCACTGCTCACAGCAGCCCAACCTGGTGCTCAGCATCCCCACTAGCACAACCACGGGGCAAATCCTGCTGTCCTGGGGCTCGGAGGGCGGCTGGACCCCCAGACTGGGAACCCTTCTGGGAACCATGCCAGCCCAGCGCTCATCATCTCCACGGGCCAAATCCTGCCATCCTCTGGCTGACAGAGAGGCTGGAGCAGCTTCCCTCCCCGGCTGGATGTGGGCACAGGAATGTGGGGTGACTGTGGCCATCTTTGGTCCAGGACAGGGACACACACACTGTAAGTGCCAGCCCAGTCAGGGGATGCCGCTGCCTCCTGTGCAGCGCTGCAGCCCCTCCCAGCCATCCCCGGGGGCACGACAGGGAGGTGCTGAGCCCCGCCGTGCCGTTCTGACCCTCCAAGCCGGCAGCCAGACTGTGCGCGTCCGGAGGACTGTATCGGTTTATTTACCACGTGTGTGCTCAAATCGCTGCCCCAGCGGCAGGCAGCTCTGCGTTTGGGGGTTTGCCGGGGTCCGAGCCCCCCATCCCTGCCCTGAGCGTGGGCGAGGGGTGGCCGCGGTGTGTCAGGGCTGCGGGGGCTGCACAGACCCTTCAGGACGGGAGCGCTGGGTGTCAGCAGCGAGCCAGTCCCGGAGCCGGCGCGAAGCTGCCGGAGCAGCTCCTCGGATCTCTTCGCGGCAAATAAATGGATTAACCCCCCGGCATCCTTCCTGCCTCCGTTTTCCTTATTCCCACGAGTTGCTGCCGGAGGGGGACCGGGATGCTGGCTGTGGCCACGGTGGTACCCCCCCCATGCCAGGCATGGCTCCCCATGGAGGGGCACCCTGTCCTGGCCCCCAGCACTCTGCTCCAGCCCCTCAGCACAGCAGGAGTCTGGGGAAAGATTTTATTTTAGGTTTTTATTTAAAGCACCATCAGCAACCCTTCGTGTCCGAGCCAGCGCTGGAGCAAGCAGCAAGTGGGACACTGGGACTATCATTCCACAGGGACTGGGAAGCACCAAGGGGCTTTTCTGGCTGATGGACAGAATTCCCCTCTCCTGTGATGCTCGGATATCCTCTTGGCAGCCTGTCCCCAACACTTGGATTGCCCCCTCCTGGGGAACACATTCTAGATCTATCCCACCACGTGGGCTGGCAGACGTGGTGACCCCCAATTCTGGTGGGAGCCCATCAGCACCCGGTGAACCCCCAGACTGCGAGGTGGGCACCCCAAACCCCACGCACTGTCTGGTTGTGTCCTGCCAAGCTCTGCCTGGGATACAGCCCCCCATCCTGGTCCCCACGGGCTGATCCCGTGGTTGGAGCAGTCAAATCCAGGCCTGGCTCCTGCTGGCATTATAAATAGCCGGGACATGGGGGGGAGCTGTGCTCCCCGGGATAAGGGGGGCGGGGGGTGGCAGGTCCCAGCGGGTGCTGATTGGGGGTTTCACCGGGTGCAGGGCCGGAGGGTGGGAGGGCTCGGTGCTGCCACGGCGCTGCCCACCCCGGGAGGTGCAATGAGCTGTGCAGCGAACAGCTGGGGGAGGAACGGGGGCTGCGTGTGCGAGAGTGTGTGTGTGTGTGTGTGTGTGTGTGTGTGTGTGTGTGTGTGTGTTTGTGGGCGAGAGACATTTATAGATCACGTGTGAAACTTGATCTCCCCAGAGTGGACTCAGAGAAGAGAAAAAAGATAGAAGTATTGTTTTTAAACAGATTTTTGCCTTTGTTTTTCTTTTTTTTCCCTCCCCTCTCCCCCTGCGAGGGCTGGTGATAAAAGGCCGCGGCGGCCAGCGCCGGCTCAGAGGGAGGAAATGCCGAAATCTCCTCGGCTCGACGCGGCGGCGGCGAGCGCCCACTGACCCACCCCGGCACAGAGCAAACTGCCGGTGCCTTCCCTGCCGTGGCACCCCGGCACCGTGGGGACCTCTGTGCCATGTGGGCGCTCCGCCTTGGCCTCGTGGCCTTGGCCTGTGCCACGACAGCTCTGTGTGCCACCAGAGCCCAGCGCCGGGCGCTGGACGGGGGCGGGCGCCGGCGCTACCACCGAGTGCAGCACGGGCACTGCAGCTACACCTTCGTGCTGCCCGAGGCTGACCCACTGCCCTGCCCGGCCTCCCCCGGTCCTGCCCCTGGCCCGGCCAACGTGTTGCTGCAGCGGGACTCGCCGGCAGGCACCGCACATGCCGGGCATGGGGCTGCCCAGCGCCTGCAGCACCTCGAGAGGATCCTGGAGAACAGCACCCAGTGGCTGCTGAAGGTAGGAGGTGGGGGGTGGGAGGTGGGGGCACGGGCAGCAGGGTGGTGTGGGCAGGGGTCTGTGTCCAGCACCCACACGTGCAGCATCCCCGTGCCATTTCTTCTCCAGCTCCCTGCCTGCTGGAGCTGCACAGCTGGAGATATTTGGGACTATGTGCACCTGAGCGGCCAGGTCAGCTTTTCCCTGCAGATGTGCAGCTGCTGTCAGGCACTGTCTGCGTGGAGGGGATGGGAGCTGCAGATCACTCACCCAGATCTCATCCCACTGAGGCTGTATTCCCTGTCCATTCCTGCCACAGGGCTCCTTGGGGTCCTAGCTAGGTTAGCCATGCCAGGCACCTCTTGGAGCTCAGCATTCCTCATTCTGGGTCAGGATATTAGGAAGGGGGTTGGCTGGTGGCAGAGTGAGTGACCTAAGGGCAGAGGCCACCAAAATCTCTCCAGATTCATCATTTTCCCTCCTGTGGGTTTTGCCAAAGCTCCCAGCACTTGGTGAGACTTTGTGCAGTACCTGTAGCTCCTGGGCAGCCCTGTGACCCATGGGAGAGTGCAGGGTGGGGGCAGTGGGATGCCACACCAGAGGGGCTGTGTACCCACAGGGTTTCCCTCCCCTACCCCACACCCCAATGCCTGAGACAGGAAGCAGCATTTCCTTTCTGAAGCCCCCATCAGCCGAGCACAGCTGCCTGCGTCAGACCCAGGAATAGCTCATCCCAGGGGACACCTCTTGGGGGGCCCCTAAGCCCTGCGCCCCACGCCTGAGTGCCTGGGTGCCTGAGCTGATAAGAGGGAAAGTGGCTTGTCCCCAGCTGTCACCGACTCAGCAGAGCCACATCCAGTGTCCTGTGGTGTCCCACTGGGGCACAAGAGGTGTCCCACTGATGAGCCTCTGCAGCCTCATTTCCTGGGTGATGCCCCAGCTGAGGTGTGTGCTGAGCCCCCGCAGCATTTGGAGATGGGGCCAACACACTGAGTTGGGGTCCTGGGGGTGACCTGTACCAGCCACACTGTTCTGGTAGCCACCCCGGGTGTGGGGGACAGGGTGGGCAGCAGAGACGTGTAGGGTTGTTCCTTGTCCCATCCTAGAGGACAAATTCCTCAAAAGCTGGGAAAACGCTGAACCATGGCTCTGCTGGAAACCAGCCCAGGGGGTTGCAGACGGATCAGCAGGGCCAGCGACAACCCAGTGGCACTGAATCTCCACCACTGTGGGACCTGCTGGGTCTGCTGGGCACACGCAGCCCTGGGATCCCTGTGCCCTGGGGTATCTGCCTTGCTGTCCCTGTGCCATGGTGTCTTTGTGTCCTGTGTGTCCAGCCCTGTTCTGAGCTTCTCCCGCCATGAGGGCAGCCTTTGGACACGGCCGAACAAGACAGAGAGCCAGGAGTCCCACCACAGCTGCTGCCCCAGTGTGGGGCAGCACATCTGGGCAGCTGTGGCAGCAGTGCCCCCTCACCCCAGCCCCAGTGGGGTGCTGGGTCCCATCTCATTCTATCCATCCATGCCATCATGAACATCCCACCCCATTCCATCCCATCACAAGCATCCATCCCATCCCACCCTATCCCACCCCATCCCACCCCATCTTGCAGCACAGCTCTCTCCTTTTAGAGGCAGCTTACAGCTATGTTTTTTTCTGTTGTTCCCTGGCTTCCCAAATTTCAGTGGAGCTGCCCAATGAGGCTTGTTTTGGTCGAACTCCAGCCCTGAACAAACAAACCAGGGCTCAAAGGAGGCATCGGGTTCAGGGACAGATCGTAAACAACATCGCATCCCTGTCTGCTCTGCCCTGGCATGGGGAGCCCTGCAGGGTGATGAGGAATTTGAAGGTCCCCTGAGACCCAACAGGGCTTCCCAGCAGCCCCAGCACCAGCCTCCTCCAGGAACCCCATCCATGGCACTGGGGGGCTGGTCCAACCTCCCCCTGTGCAGGCCCCCGTGGCCGTAGGACACATGGACGTGACAAGGACCCAGCACACAGGGACACGTTGGCTGCTCCTGTTTCAGGAGGAATTAATTTTAGTTCAAACACAAACATTTGATGGTGCCACTGGGCCTGGGTGGGCTCAGGGTGGGATGGGGTCCCCAGTGGGGCAGTGGCAGTTTGGCAGCTCTGGGGCAGCAGGGGCCGGTGCTGCTCACGCTGGGATGGGTGCAGGGGTGTGAGCAGCAGGTGGGGTCTATCTCTCTACTTCTGGCTCAGGGATCCCCCAGCCAGTGCTTTCGGGATGCTTAGAAATGCCAGGGCAGGGACAGGTGAGGGACAGGGACAGGAACTAGTGAGGGATGTGGCTGCAAGAAGACAGCACAGGATCATGCAGCCATGGCCAACAGGATCTTGGCATAGGGGCAGAGGGTGACTGGGGTTCCTTCTGCTCCAGGGCAGCTCTTTGGGGTGATCCACAACATGACAGTTCGTCCCCCTACTGTTTTGCTTTTATGGTGGAGGAATGAGTCTGGTGGGACCTTCTGAGCCCAGGGGAGCCCCATGAGGTGAGGGGAGGACAATCCCAGATTCCCTGTCCACAGCACACAGCCTGTCCCACTCGTGTCCCCTGTGACACCCATGGCAGGGGACACTGTGTCCCACTCCAGCTCCAAGGGAGCTGGATCCAGGGATGGGGGCCAGGATCCAGGGCTCCCTCTCTGGGGCTCTCAGCCCTCACTGTGCCAGCCTGACCTTTTCCACGGGTATGTTCTGCCCTCAGCTTGCAGATATGTTTATTTAAAAAAAAAAAAAAAGTCAAAAAGCAAGACTGAGAGGGAGAAAAGGCCTCCCTGAGCCCTGTGAAGCAACAAGATTAACGACGTGGTTAAAGGGAAACTCTCCAGAAATCCCTCAGCTCGGGGAAATGTTTTCCAGACGCGGCTCTCCGACCTTTCCCTGCTTCCTCCCTGAGAGCACATTTCTGCGAAGCAAAATCCCCAGGGAAGCGGGTGCAGGCAATGCTGGCTGGGACACCCAGCCCTGAGACCCTCCTGCCCCAAGACCCTCCCGCCCCTCCACGACTGCTCGTGGTGGGGTGATGGTTTTGCCACTGCCTGGTGCTGGGGAGAAGGGAATGGGGCCCTGCCGCTGGCAGCGGGATTTTGTCACGCCAAACAAGTGCAGAGCCCTGTGCCACCAAGCCGAGCATCCCGGCACCGCTGCATTCCCACCATGGTGCAGAGCATCCCGGCACCACTGCCTGCTTGCCACTCCGCCCAGGAAGCAGCATCCCAACCTTGCCGATTCTGGTCCACAACCCCACGAGATGAAGCGGGATGTGGGGCTCTCCCTGCATCACTGGGGAGCTCGGGCAGGGAAGCAGGATCTGGGCAGTGCAGAGACAGTGGGATCTGTGAGGTGCAGAAAGCTGGGCAGCCCCGTCCCCCCTGCTCTCGGGGGCTGCTTTCCCAGCGTGGGCGGCAGCGCGGCCCCTTCCGCTCCCTGCGGCCCCCGCCGAGGGACTGTGCCCCCATCGAGGCCATCGCCCTGGGGAGGGGCTGAATGGGAACCTCATGGCAGAGTGTCCAGAAATAGCAAAGCCTTTGGGAAAGGCGGCTCCCCCGCGGGCTGGGAAAGCGGAAGCGTCATCTCAGCTGCGTCCGAGCTGTGTCGGCAGCCAGCTCCTTCCCAGCCCTGAGTGCTTCCCCGTGGTGGGGCAGCACCAAATGCCAGACAGCCACTTTTCCTGGCCCATGGTGGCCTCCCACCCTCCACTTCCCCAGCCCTGGGAAACCAGTGGCTGGGGGCTGGCAGTTGATGCCAATGCCAGTGCCGATGCCAAAACCAGCCACTTCCTGCCCGGCTGCTTGGCACGGGCCACCCCACCTGGGCATCAGCCCCAGCTTGCCAGCACACCTGGGCACACACAGGCCTATGCCAGGTCCCAGCTGGCACCGCAGCCCAGGAATCTTGGCAGCCAAGGCCTGAGGGGGCTCCCCTGCAGCAGCTCAGCTCGCTCTGCCCTCTGATAAGTTTCAAAGGGCCCCCGGGGTGGGTCCTGCCGGGCTGAAGCACACAGGGCTGTGCCTCGGGGCTGTGCCCAGCAGTGCCAGGCTCGGCCAGGGCGCCAAGACAGGACCTGGTGAGGTGCCCAAATGACCCAGTGCATCGCCACTCCTCTCCACAGCTGGAGAGCTACATCCAGGGCAGCATGAGGCCGGAGGTGGCGGAGCTGCGGCAGAAGCAGAACCAGACGGCCACCGTGCTGGAGATCGGCAGCTCCCTCCTCAACCGCAGCGCCGAGCAGAGCCGCAAGCTCACTGACGTGGAGGCCCAGGTGTGTCCCCACGTCCCCACCACCCTGAGACTGTGGTGGGTGGCACTGTTTGTCTGCTGATAAAAGTGGGGCGATTCCCCGAGGTGACACAGGGTTGAGTGTACCAGTGCCAGAGGTGCCAGGGCTGTGTGCCAGGGGCTTGCCAGCCTGGTGACATCGGGGGTGTGGTGGGGCCCTGGCTGCTGATGCCAACACTTCCCTCTGCTCCTGAGGCAGGTGCTGAATCAGACTTGGCGCATCGAGATGCAACTCCAGGAGAATTCCCTGTCCACCACCAAGCTGGAGAAGCAGCTGCTGCTGCAGACCAACGAGATCCACAAGCTGCAGAACAGGAACAAGTAGGGGTTGGGTTGGCTCAGGGATCCCCACAGCCTTTGAACCCCACAGGGAGGCTGGTGTCTCCCACCTCACACTGCACTTTCAGGGGACTTGAACCCCTCCAGGCACTGGCTGGGGTCCCTGAGGGGGGGACAGCCCCAGAATGGCCCCTTGGGCCTTGGGTTCCCCTGACTGGGCCCATCCCAGAGGTGGGGGTGAGATTCAGTGTGTGTAGCAGGGGATAGGGACAGCAATGGGTCCCCACAGGCATGCCAGGACACTGCAGCTGGGGCTGGGTCCACTCTGCCATCCCCATCACCGCTGCATCCCCCTCCCAGCATCCTGGAAGTGCGGGTGCTGGAGATGGAGACGAAGCAGCAGGCGGAGCTGGCAGGGGCCCACTTGGAGAAGGAGAAGCTGCAGCGGCTGCTGAGCCGGCAGAGTGGCACCATCGAGGAGCTGGAAAAGACGCTGCTGGCTGCCAGTGCCAACACCAGCCTGCTCCAGCGCCAGCAGCTCCAGCTCCTCCAGTCCGTGCAGAGCCTGGTGCGCCTCGTCTCCCAGGGCAGAGGTGAGCAGGGTGTGGGGCAGGGTGTGGGCAGGGTGCGGGTGGTGGGAGAACATCTTCCCCTCTCAGGAGGGTGCCGGGACACCCCTGTGCTCAGCTCAGCTTGAGTGATTTCACCCCAAGAGTCACAGGATTACAGAATGGTTTGGGTTGGAAAGGACCTTAAAGCTCGTCTTGTTCCAACCCACCCTGCCATGGGCAGGGACACCTTCCACTAGAAAATGGGCTGCTCATTGCATCCAAGAAGCAGCTTGGAGCCCCCAGGGGCAGTGTCCATGGAAAAACCCCAGGGTTAGGCTGGCAGTGGCCCTGGTGGCACAACTGCCTTGCCCAGCCCTTGGGAGATGACGCAGAAGGAAGAAAAATAGTCTGTGGGCACAAAAGAATCCAAAGGAAGAGGAAAGAGGAGCAAAACCAGGCAGGGCTGTGGGGCTGGCAAGGTTTCTGTCATCTCACTGTCCCTTCTGCCACAGCCATGTCACCTGGGCAGGAGCAGCAATTCCAGGACTGTGCCGAGGTGCGCCGGGCAGGCATCCGCACCAGCGGCGTGTACACCTTGCACATCGCCAACCTCAGTGAGCCCAAAAAGGTGAGCACAGCCTGGAGAGGACACCTCTACAGCACCCCGGGGTGCTGCACACCCCAGTGCCACCCAGACCAGAGTGGGTATCCCTGTTGTATGGCACATCCCAGGGCAGTTGTCTGTCTGGCCCCAGGGGCTGTTCAGGCCTGAAGGCAGCACCCACCCAATAAAGGCAGGGCTGGCACAACCTTCCAGACGGAGGGAAAAAATTGATTTTAAAGGCAACCTGACCTGTGAACACCATGCCCCAGCCCCTGACCACAGCCATGGAGGGAGGAGAGACCCCCCCCCAGCCAGGCACTGGGCACAGCACATGCCTGACAGCCCCTCAGCAAGCCCTGGTGCCCATGGAGTGCCCACACCAAACTGCCCAGCCCACTGGGGGATGCACCTGACTGCCCACTCCAAGCCAACCCCAGCCCGTCCCCCCTCTCCCCTCTACAGGCATACTGTGACATGGAGACAGACCAAGGGGGCTGGACTGTCATCCAGCTTCGTGCCAACGGCAGCCTCAGCTTCCAAAGGAGCTGGAGGGAGTACAAGCAGGTCTGTGCCCACCTGGGGAGAGGGGCACCCTGGGGGCACCCTGGGCAACCTGCACTCACCCTGCTGTTCCCCAGGGCTTCGGGGATGCAGCAGGGGAGTACTGGCTGGGTAATGAGGCCGTGCACCTGCTGACGAGCCGGGTGCCCTACACCCTGCGAGTGGAGCTGCAGGACTGGGAGGGCGGACAGGTGTATGCCCAGTACGGGAAATTCCAGCTGGGAAGTGAGCGGCAGCTTTACAGGTAGGAGAGAACACTGTGGAGGTGGCCACCCCGCGCTCTTTCTTCTCTTCCTGGACTCCTGAGAAGTAGATTTTTAATGTATAGAATTGCATCAAGGCAGCGGGATTTGCTATCCCAGAGTTCCTATCCCGGGCAACAGCTTGCACTGAAGGTCACTGCTTGGGCAAGTGGGGTCACACAGCCATGGTCCCCACACACTCCTGGGGGGCATCCCCAGGCTGCCTGTGTCTAGGGCTAATGATGTCCAGCTTGCCATGAATGTGTGCTCCTGGCCATGGAGGGTGGCCGGCAGATGGGGGCTTCCCTGCTGGGCTGGAAGTGGGACCAGGCCCTGGAGATCTCCTGCACCATCCATCCCATGCATGCACCAAGCTGACCCCCAGCAAAGAGGACTGGAGGAGATTGGAGGGGAGTCCTCTCTGCCCCAGCATAGCACAGCCTTCACCCTCGGGGACCCCACCAAGCTGGATCTGCAGGATCTCTGCCTGCATCCCTCCGTGCTGTGCTCAGCTCGTGGCATCCACGGCCTCCCCGAGCAGAGCTGGGGGGCTCTGTGACCCCCCCCCAGCAGCCGGCAGTGACGGTGACTGTGCTCCTGCTGGGCGCAGGCTGTCACTGCAGGACTACAGTGGCACGGCCGGGCAGCAGAGTGGCCTGGCCCTGCAGGGCACCCAGTTCAGCACCCGCGATGCCGACAACGACAACTGCCTCTGCAAGTGTGCCCAGATGCTCTCGGGAGGTGAGTGGAGCGGGGGGACCCCCACGCAGCACCTCGGGGTGCCCGATCACGATGCCACCCTCCCTCCCTGCTCCCTCCCTGCAGGATGGTGGTTCGACGCCTGTGGCCTCTCCAACCTGAACGGCATCTACTACCCAGCCCGGAACAACATCCGCAAGCTCAACGGCATCCGCTGGCACCACTTCCAGGGGCCCAGCTACTCCCTGAAGGGCACTCGCATGATGATCCGACCCACCAGCTTCTAATGTGCCGGCAGTTGGGGCGGCACTGAGACGGTGCCAGCAGAGAGGGAAAAGCCCAGGACAAGGGATGGTTGAGGGAGACCGAGACCCCCCTGGCCACTGCAGGGAACCTTTTCCACCAGTAATTTTTTTTCACTCTTGTTTATCCAATTTTCCAGATGCCTGCAGTGTCACCATGGCCATGCTGGAGGGACTAGGGGCAGGGGTGAGGGGTGCTGGTGCTGCAGGAGCTGGCCTGGGGGCCCTGCCATGAGACAAAGCCAGCCCGGCTGAAGTGGGCTCCAGCACATGGAAACCCCCTGATCCCACCTCAGCTTCTCTCCACAGATTTCTGCTGGGACTCAGGGGTTTGCCCTGGGGACAGGGGTCCAAGAGCCCCCCACCCCCAGTGATGAGAGCCTCTGGGACCACTGTGCACTCAGAAGGGCTCCAAGGCATGGTGGGGGCTTTGCCTTTTCACTGATTTTGGGCATTGTAAAGCCCTCACCATCCTGCTTTCCTGTAGGATTAGAGGAGCTGGGTAGGACAGAGATCTTCACAAGTACCAGGGCTGGTGGCATCCCACCATCCCCTCCTGCCCAGGCACAGCCATGCAGGGGGACACAGGCTGTCCCCTTCCGAACGTAGCTCAAGCCACTGTCTTCCTGCATGGCAGGACAGGCACTGCTCCTCACAGGATGGGGCCGGTCACCAGAGAGGACAAGAAGAGCAGGGGGTGCCTGTGGGGACCCTCAGGGGGCCCAGTCCTGGGATGGCTGACGGCCCAGTGCTGGAAGACACTCACTGGGAGCAGACACTGCACTGGCAGGGGGCTGGCAGAGCCCCAGGATAGCCAGGATGGGTCTGGAGGTCACAGGTGGGGAGGGGGCCGCGGTTTAAGATGGGGCTGGGGGTGGGAAGTGGTGGGTGCTGGCACTGGCACTGGCACCGGCTGTGCACGCAGCAGCGGGGGGGCTCCTGCTGCCTCCCCTCATCTCTGTCCCGAGGCACCCGCTAATTAACACTGATTAAAGCACGTGACGTCGTTGGCGCTTCCAGAAGATGCTCATCAGTGGGGAATAATTAAAAAATGGAAAACACAGGGGGCGGTGCTGCCGGTTTTCCTTCTGTCCTGGCTGGCTGCCTGCACCTCCTGCCTGCGCATGGGGCACCCATGGGAGATCTTGGCTTGCGGGAGGTGACAGTGATGGGCATTTCCCCTCCTCCCTGGAAATAACCGGCAGGCTCAGCTGCACTCCCCATGAAACCGGAGCCACCGGGAGGCAGCTGCCAGGGAAAGCGATAGGGAGCACAGGGCTGTCCTGCTGTCCCCAGCAGGGACACACGACAGGGGGGCATTCCAGGGGGGCACATGCTGCTGGACATGTCTGTGCCGGGGTTTCATGCTGGCAGTCCCGTGGGTGCCAGGTCAGATGGAGACTCCTGCCTTAGGAACACGGCTGCTGTCCGTGCATCTGCATGCACACAGAAATCATGCACACAAACACATGTGCACGTGGACATGCACATACCCTTGGACATGCGTCACAGGATCATGCCTGCACACATGAGCACACAGGGCTTTGGGCAGCCACATCAGGTCCCGGCCACGCAGGACATGGGGCAGCGGAGCCACACCGAGGACAGGCGGTGCCTGGGGGACATGTGGCTTCTTGGCCCATTCCCCCCCTTCTCCTTAGCCATAGCAGCAAATTTAGACCAAGCCCTGGGACACACCAGGCTGAGGAATCCAGCAGCACAGCCGGTCCCAGCCACCAGTGGGGATCCGGTTCCCTCAGAGATTTCCCCAAGGGCAAAGGCTGTCCCCGAGTGGGTACCTGGGGTCCCTGTCCCCCTCTGATTTCCGGGGTGTTTTCCCCAGGGAGACACCTGGTGTCCCATGTGCCATCATTAAGGATCTCCTGGGTATGTGTGTCTTCCCCAGAGCACTTCATCAGGCTGACTCACAGCCAGATGCCATCCGGTCACCGTGTCCTGTCACCGTGTCCTGCCACAACATCCTGCCCTCCACATCCCCAACACTCAGACCTGCCAATACCTCAGCAGGAGCTGGATGGATCCTGCTCCCCAGGCAGCAGATCTGGGTGGACATGCGCAATGCAGGAGTTGGGCTGGGGTGCTTCTTCATGGGGGCTCTTTTGGGGCCTCCAAGTGCTGGGCGGAGGCCCCAGTCAAGGGGGCCCCTGGTGCTGCCCCGGCCATGCGAGGCTGCCCTGGGAGAACACACAGGTGTTTTTCATCTTCAAAGCACTCCCTGCACCAACTTTCATCCCAGCCCGACTGGGAGGTCTCCACTATCACCACCCCCATCTCCCAGTCTCGGGGGAGCCAGGACCCAGCCAAGCTTTGCTGGAGAGAGGCAAGGAGGCAGGGGAGGGCTGCATGGCACAGAGGGGAATCCCACTGACTGGGGCTCTGCCGGGACCTGCCAGACCCAACCGCCGCCCTGCCGTACCCGCCGGGCCCCGCGCTGGCACGCCACGGCACGGCACCCATCGCTCCTGCCAGCACCCACCCGCTCAGCACCCCCAGTCCTGCAGATCCACAGGCACTCCAAGGGTCCCTGCCCCATCCCAACCTCCACCGCCTCGAGAGACAACGCACAGCCTCCAAAACACAGACATTTAATAAACCTGGCTGCATTACCATTATTATTATTTACAGATCAAACACTGGGAAAAACAGTAGAAAAGAGGAACTCTTGTCTTCATAAATACCAGGCCCAGCATAGTGGGGGCCGCACACCCACTGGCAGCCGAGGGGGGACACAGGCACCCGCAGCCACTCACACACACACACAGCCCTGGGTGGCTCCAAGCAGGGGATCAGGTTTGCCCCCTGAAGCACCCAGCTTCTCCCAGACCTTCAGCAGTAAGACAGGGCCATCAGGATACAACCCCCACCCCAGGCAGTGGGATCCCCTCGGTGGAGGCTGCAGAGAGGCAGCTCCTTCCCCAGGGCTGTGTCCCTGCTCTGTGCAGGGGGGAACCAGCCCCTTGCACCCCACCCATGGGTGTTGGTGAGGAGCACAGCAGGCAAGAACCGCCAGCAGTGCAGGCAGGGCAGCCACACATGAGGTTCCATGGGTTTTGGGGACCAGCCACACATCCAGGGACACACAGTATCCTCTGCCTTCCCGCGGGCTGGCAGGGGCCTGATTCTTCAGTGCTGGCAGAGGGTTCTGACGATGGATGGCCAGCCACTACATTGGGCCAGTGGCGCTTTGGCACAGGGGGGGCTGAGTTCAAGGGTCCTGTCACAGGTAAGAGGTCCCTGCTCCTCCCAGGGTACAGCCTGTGCTCTGTCCCCTTCCAACATAGCCCGCTTGCAAGCAACCCATCTCCAGTGCCCACCACGGCACTGCTACACGTCGGAGACCTGCTGGGGCTCCCTGGCCTGGCGCAGCCCATAGAGCCACTTGATGACACGGGCATTGCGCTCAATGACAGAGATGCCATAGGGCACACGCTCGGCCGGTCGCCCCTCCGGTGTGGCAGCGCTTGGCGGGGAGCGCCCGCCCTCCGAGCTGGCCGTGCTCACGCTGTGGAACTTGAGGGACACGATGTCGGAGCTGGCGCGGGCGAAGCGCTCGGCCCCCATGTCCTGCATCTCCTCGGGGTCGAGGCCGCAGTAGTTGAAGAAGCGCTCCAGGTCGGCGGTGGCCCGCGAGAGCCGGTCGCTCAGGTCCGACTTGGAGCGGTGCAGCAGCGGCTGCCGGCGGGCGCTCTCGGGGCGGGCGGGTGAGCTCCGGGATGGGGTCACAGGCAGCCCACCTGGGACAGGGGACGCGGGCACCGGTGTCACTGGGCTCCTCGGAGCTCCACAGGGACGGACGTCCACCCTCCGCACGGCCACGCTGCCGGGGGGCCTGGCGGTGGTGGGGCTCTCTGGCAGCTTGCCAGCCCCCTCCGCCGCCGGCACCTCTGCCCGCCACCTGCACTCCCTGCCCAGCGGGCTCTCAGCCTTAGGGAAGGGGCTGTCACAGAGGTTGATGAGGTTGTTGAGGATCTCCAGGTCAAGGGAGGTCTTCGGGCTGGCAGCCTCGGCGCGGCGCGGTCCCGCGGGTGCCCTGCGGCTGGGGGTGAGCGCAGCCCGGCGCACCCCCGGCGTGAAGAGGGGCTGCTTGAGCAGCAGTGGCTTCACCGGCTCCTGCTTGGTGCTGGCGACCCGCTGACTCTTCACATACTTGGCCTTGTCGGCCTCCAGCCTCTCCACTGCGCTGGGCTTCCCGGCCCCCGGCTCGGCGTGCCGGCGGAAATACGCGGGGCCCTTGCGGAGGATGCGGACGGGCATGACCGAGGTGAAAGGCGCTGTCACCGTCACCCCCTTCATGGTGTCGCCGGCTTGCAGCGCCTCGACGGGCATCCTCCGTGCCGGCACCGGGACAGGGGGTGGGCGGCCGCCACGGGCAGCGAGGGGCTCACGTGCCGTCGGCTGCGAAGAGGGACCGGAGTGAGCGCGGCGGCGATGCTGCCCCTGCCCGCGCCCCGGCCCCGCGGCAGACAAAGGCTGCCCGGGCTGTGCGGTGCTACACTGGCTGCGCCGCCGGCCCCGGGCTGCCTATTTGAAGGCGGACACCACGCCTCCACCGCCGCCGAGCCTCCCCGACACGTCCCCCGGCCAATCCGCGCCGCACGCCTGCTTCAAACCGCACCGGGGCCAATGGGGCCGGCCCCGGCGAGGGGCACCCTGGGGAGCGAGTGGGGCGGGGAGAGCCCAGCACCCCTCAGCGATGCTCTGCCCGCATCGCATATGCCCAGGGATGCACCGTCTGCATCAAGAGGCGCACTGAATGTGCCCAGGGGGTGCATCACCCACATCAAGGGGTGCGTTTCCTGCACCCAGGAATCAATCACCCACTCCCAGAGGAGCACTGATTTCTCCCAGGGGTGCATCGCCTGCTCCTAGGGGAGCACTGGTTGCTTCCAGGGGTGCAATCACCCACATCTTTACATCGCCCATGCCGAGGGGTGCATTGCCGACTCCCAGGAGTGCCTCCCCCATGTCCGGGGTTCCATCACGCACCACCCTGCCAGGCTGGGGGAATCGGTGCTCCACTCTCTCTGCTGTTCCCTCAGCTCTAGGCCCTCTTGCAAGCTCCATGGCTGCCCTTGCAAGCTCACAGACTCACTGCTCCCACCCTGGAGCTCCTTGGAAAGTACGGGTGGGGGTTTCCACCAGTGCTTCCCCGGCCACAGTGTGCTGGGAGCAGCATGGGGCCCTGCGCACCCCGTGTCCTTGGGCCCCTGCCAACCCCAACAAGCGCAGCCGCTGCTACAAGGCAGAGGCACCGTGCCCGCCCACAGCAGGAAGGAGGGGCACACCGAAAACAGCCTGCACCCCTCTGCAGCCCCCGGCCCAGGGGTGGGCACACCTGGAAGGGTCTCAATACCCAGAGAAGCTCAGGCAGTGGCAAGGCATGAAGGGGGACACATGGCTCAGACCTCCTCCCCCAAGCCCCTTCCCGAGCTGCTCTGAGATCTCCCCTGGGGGTCCTGATTTGGGGCACTGCTGAGCCCTGAGGAGGTGAGAGAGCAAGCCCCAGCACTCACCGGGAGCAGTGGTGGGTATGATGGGCACCAGTGTGCTGTGGCCCCACTCGCTCTCACGGCAGCCCCGAGCAGGCAACCGTCACGTCACTCGCTCACCTCCCTGCACAAACTTCCTGGGTGCAGCCCAGATCCTGTCCCAGCTCTGGCCGCAGGCGGCAGGAGTCAGCCCCGGCACCCAGAGCCCCGCCGAGCCATGGCTGAGCCATGGCTGAGCCACAGCTGAGCTGTCTGCACCCCCTGCCAGCCCAGGGGTTACAGTGTGTCAGCCCCAGCCCCTCCAGAATCTGCACCCCAGCAGGGTCCCTGTAC